TATATATATATATATATTATATATATTATATGTAATATAATATAATATAATATATATAATATATAATATATATATATATATTATATATTATATATTATATATTATATATATAATATATATAATATAATATATATATATATAAACCTATATTTGTGCACTTGTACTAACCATAAATTCTAGAATTGAAATGAATTTAAATATCATGAATTGTTTCAATTTACTTTATTTGCCTGTCTGGCTGCAAAACTAGCTACAGTGCAGTACCACTGTGTGAAACTAGAGAAGAGCCGACACTCCAAAGTAACGGGAGAGAGGAGGTGAAAGGTACGTAAGAATTAAGATGAACACATCGTTAGTTCAAGCCTGTGAAAACGACCCTAATGTTAACGTATGTTGCATTTTGGTTCCTTGGATAGAGAACGTTACTAATTGATGCATGTGAATGTTCCTGTAAAGTCCCTGAGACAACTGGTTGTGTTCTGGTGCTGAACAAAGAAACTGAATTGAATTTGAACGACAGGAACGCAGTTGATGAATATAGTTTGGCCTTCGTGCGTAATGTTCCAGATACGTTTTGAAGAGAACGACATGGCTTCATGTCGGGTAACTGTTCTGTTGAGACTCATTTCTGGTTACACTTTCAGAGGAGTATGTTCAAATACTTTCAGAAGAGGACGGGACACGAGGAAGACGTGGAGGTAACGTTAGATGGAGATGTTCGATGGCTACAAGGAGCAGAGGTCACAAAGGTGCAGGACTTCAAGGACTTGGGGTCCACTGTCCAGGAACATGGGGAGTGTGGTGAAGAGGAGAAGAAGAGAGTCCAGACAGGATGGAGTGATGGAGAAAAGTTTCAGGAGTGATTTGAGACAAAAGAGTGTCAGCAAAGATCAAAGGAAAAGTTTACAAGACAGTGGTGAGACCAGCTATGTTGTATGGTCTGGAGACAGAGACATGGACAAAAAGACAGGAGACAGAACTGGAAGTGTCAGAAATGAAGATGTTGAGGTTCTTCTTAGGAGAGACAAGGATGGAGAAGATCAGGAATGAGATCATCAGAGGTACAGCACAGGTTGAACAACTGGGAGATAAAGTTAGAGAGGACACACTGAGATGGTTTGGACATGTCCAGAGGAGGGACGGTGGTTTGGACACGTCCAGAGGAGGGACGGCGGTTTGGACACGTCCAGAGGAGGGACAGTGGTTTGGACACATCCAGAGGAGGGACAGTGGTTTGGACATGTCCAGAGAAGGGACAGCGGTTTGGACATGGACATGTCCAGAGGAGGGACGGCGGGTACATTGGTAGAAAGATTAGAGAGGACATGGAGGTAGATGGAGTGAGGACAGAGTGAGATGGAGGACTCGATGTGGAGACCCCTGAAGAGAAAAAAGCCGAAAGAAGAAGAAGAAGAAATAATAGTGGTAATAATAAAATATAAAAATACAAACTCCAAGGTAAACGCATGCGCACTGACCTAAGAAAGAACAACCAAAACTACGAAATTATGACAGTCACAACTAAACACAAACAACAAATAAACAAACATTTAACAACAACATATGTTTTTATAAGACTCTTCTGCTGTTTGCGCAGTTTCATGAAAAGAAAACTTCAACTAATGTTTTATCTTTGTTCTTCCACGGGTTCGTTAATGTTTATCGAACCGAGCCTCGGTTTGGACTTTAACACGGAGAAGGCACGAGCCGTTCATGTGTCACTAACAACACCAAGTAGAACTTTTCACAAAGATTCATAAAATATAAACACAAACTTTAATAGTTTTAGTTCACCGCACTGCGCATGCTCACAACAGGGATCAACGCAAACTGCTCAGAAACTCGGAAGAAAAAAAAAAAGGACGTTCTGATCAGAATAGTTTATTTCCAGTTGTGCTCAGAGTAACACTTGGACTGATAACCAATAATCAGAAAATGGTTTTTACCGACTTCATGAAGGCGTTTCTCCTCCCGCGGCGTGAACTCGTCAGCTGCAGAAATACAGGAAGCTGCGCTTTTACCGACGGAGCGAATCCCGCCACAACACCGGAGCCCAGCGACAGAACGCTACTGGTGTTACACACACAACGGTCACCCGTTTCCTCAGAGCCAGAACTACTTCCGACCAGCGCTCGTCAAAATAAAAGCGCAGCTCAGTGAACGCGTAACTGATATTTTTATTTATAATAAAAACTGTCCTATGTAACTTTAATTTGTTTGACTTTTATTAAACAATTGTCTATGTTAAGCTATGAAAATTGTATAAAGTAAATGTTAACTAAATTAAGTAAAGTAGTATTTCAGGTCCCTCTTGTAAATGAGTGACTCAATGGAATTAAAGTATAAATAAACGTTGAATGAAAAAAGTATTAAAGACAAAAACAAATACCGGTAAATGTTTATCAAACTGAAAATAAGGTCAAATAATTTCTACATTATTCACTTTGGAGTAAGCTGTTGGGGGAAGAATCAGTTTTGTTGTGTTTCCTTGACTGATGAAGTCTTCTGGATGAAAGGTGAAACGTTTCAGCACAAAAAAAGAAACTGTCCAGATGACCTGACTGAAAAATGCTGGATTGTGTACCTGGATTATTGAGCATGGACTTTGTTAATTTCTACATTCCTTGAATGAAAAACTTAAAACTTGCTGTAATTGATAAATTTGTTTTCACATGAAGATTTCAACAAATTAAATAATTTCAAATATTTTATTACAAAAAAAACAATAACACTAAACAAAAACATGAATTAGAAATACACAAACTGCTCGTTGCTGAAATAATATTTTGGATTATAAAGTTAAAACCAAACATGAATTAAACTTTAATGAGTCTGAGCTCAGCTTCCTGTACCAGGACCTTCAAAATAAAGTCAGTTGAGTAGTAGCTGCAGCTTCACGGAGCTCCTCAGATGATCAGAGTTCACCTCAGAACCCCCCCAGACCTGGAGCCTGCCGTCTCCATCACTTGGCGGTGGCGTTCCCGTGCGCCGGCGGCTGCTGCGGCGGCTGCTGCTGCTCGGCGAGCGCCTGCTGCAGCCGCGTGCGTTTCCTGGAGTAGTGCTGCCAGTGCAGCAGCTGCTGCTCGTCGATGAACTTGGCGCACTGAGCGTTCACCAGCTCCTTCCTGAAGTGTTCGTACTGCAGCAGCTCCAGCATGTGCAGGCAGTGAGGATACCTGAGGGGGCGGAGTCAGTGCTTGGAACAGCGTTTCTTTTCAATCACACTTTGAGACGTGAATAAAGAGCGCGGCGGCTCGTCTTACTTCAGGAACTTGGCGTATTCGGGCTCCTTCCAGTAGAGCAGGTACTTCAGGTAGTTGATGAAGGGTCTCTCCCTCAGGTAACCCCTCTGAGCCAAAACTGCAACACAAAGAGCCGAAGGTTCAGGTTCCCTTCATGAGCTGAAGGAAAAACAAGAAACTGACAGAGGGAGTTAGAAGATAAAGGATTCAGTCATTCTCGTTCTCGGTGACTCGTTCTGCAGTTTTTGTTCTATTTCAGCGATTCAACGTTCGGCTCTTTCAGGACATTCCAGCTGGGACTTTTGCTTTCTGTGCAGTTTTTACTTGTTGAAATATTTAGCTCCGTCGGCCATGTTTTCATCATAGAACATGACCGGAGCTCACTTCACATCCTTCAAAGCCTTCAGCTGTTTACAACTTTAATGCTCCTTTCAGATGAACATCTTCAGCTTCTTTCTGCTAATTTCAGCTGTTGTTCACCTTCAGCTCGTTTCTAGTCATTTTAGCTGTTGTTCACCTTCAGCTTCTTTCTGCTAATTTCAGCTGTTGTTCATCTTCAGCTTGTTTCTGCTAA